TTGGATGAAAATGATACTCAAACTCAACAAGAACTCGCGGATGAATTGATTTATTTTTATACCGTTACTTAATTGTATTTTTATTGTTATGTCTACAAAATTGTTGCACTGCTTCTCATGAGTGTAAAACACAAAGATAATTGTCCACACGATCATTTATATCGCAGAGTTGAGAAAGCATTATGAAAAGAGAATGTTAAAAATTATCCGAACAGCATGCGCATATTAATTTTTTTAGCAAACTGAGAACTCATTTTATCAGTGATATTTATAAAGGAGAGAAAATTGATTGAAAATGAGATGCCTCGTAGACGAAAAATAGATGGCTTTTATTTCTTCCCATGATAAAATATGTCATTAACAAGGCACCTATTTTTTATAAACATACCGTAGACTGGGGTTACTTTGGTATGGTTTTCGCACTTTTTGCACTTCTCTGTTCAAATGACTGTTACGAACAGTTTTGCATTGTATTAGTTACGTAAATGTGATGATATTTTCTTTAAATTCGCTAAAATTTTTACTCCCAGGTCAAGAGTTTAAAAATAATCCCACCTTTTTCTTGTCCTAAAGTTACCCCTTGAATAGGGGTAATTTTAGGACAAATTGTTTTCTCGTTGTTTTACAGTATAAAAGTGGGATTGTCACTATGCTAGACTGTCACAAATCTTTATTTATCAAAAATATTCAATAACTTAACGCTATTTACAAAAAAAAAAATATGTAATGTAAACATTTTTACAAAAAAAAAAATATAAATATTAGCGTTGGAAAACATTAAACCAAATTGTATATAATGTTCAGGATCCATTAATTTACTAGTTCTTTTACACAATAAATATCCCGGCGACCTATCTTTTTGGGTGGCTCAATTACTTGCACTACATCTTCTACTCTATAGTCTAGGATGTCGTCCTTATTTGGCCATTTCCAATTACAACCACTTTGCTCCATAGACTTTATTGAGTATCCAACCTTTTTCTGTTTTATTATCAGTCCTGGATAAAGAACACCTTCATAATTTATTAAAACAAACGTTCCCTCAGATAAATGTTTTAAGTCGTGTTGTAATCTATCGATTGATTTCAGAGGAGTGAAAGGATGCTCGTCTCCTCTGTATAATTTTTAAACGCCCTCGTCCTAAGGGTACGTTTGTAAATCCGTCCCATTGTATCAGAAACTTAAAAGTAAAAAAAATAGACTTTTTAGCTGAACAATAACATTTGGGATAACTCTGGGACAGTCCCAAAGTTGCCCCTTATATATAACATTTTTCAATAAAGTATTTTTATAACCAAATAATTATTTAAATATTATCAAACACTGGATTATAATAGATAATGATAATTTATTTCAAACATTTACCTACTTTACATTGAGTTTCATACAAAACCTCTGTTTTATACTGTGTTGAATATGTCAAATATTGTCTTAGCTAAGAAGCAATCGCGGGAGGTATCAGTTTTCTGTTTATTTGGAAGAAAAGTGCAGCTGAAGCGCATCGAATGCTTGTAGAAGTTTATGATGACAATGCTCCAGCTGATAAATCATGTAGGGAATGTTTTCGCCGTTTCAAGAATGGTGATTTCAGCGTTAAAGACGAGCCTCGTTCTGGGCAGCCAAAAAAGTGTGTGGTATACTATAAGTTGCTACAACCTGGCGATTCCATTACGGACCATCGATATAGGCTACAATTGATTCGTTTGAGCCGTGCTTTACGAGAAAAACGGCCGAAATACAAGCGAAGACATGACAAAGATATTCTTCTGCATGATAACGCTCGGCCTCATGTCGCAAAAGTCGTAAAAAATTATTTGGAAACGCTTAAGTGAGATATTTTACCGCACCCTCCGTATTTGCCGGACTTATTCCTTCTGATTACTGGTTGTTCCGACGGATGCAGCACGATTTGGCAGGTCACCGGTTCACTTATTTCGCAGAAATCGAAAATTGACTCCTAACTTGGATCGCCTCAAAAGACGAGACATTTTTTCGAGATGGAATTCGAAAATTGCCTAGGAGGTGGGAAAAAGTAGTTGCCAGCGATGGACAATACTTTCATTAATCTGTTCATTCATTTTGTTCTGATATAAATGCATTTTTACCACGAAAAAACGGACCAAACTAATTTGTACTCTCAATAGGTACACGGGAGAAAAGTCACAAATAAGTTATATATACTAGGGCGGTCCGATAAGTACTTAGCCTCACCGCCCGATGGCGCCACTATCGCAAGAGAGATTTACTATCGTGTAGTACATTCTCGTAGACGGCTCTTGTCAACATTTCAGCCGAATCGGACTCCTAGTTTTGTTTTGACTGCGTGTGGAAGCGGGCGTGTCCGCGGATTTTAGAAAAATGGAAAAAGAGCAATATCGGTCGGTGATTCGATTCTTGTTTTTGGAAGGGAAATCGCGCAGCGAAATCAAAGAGCGCTTGGATGCTGTGTAAGGTGACTCTTCTCCTTCGATGGCGACCGTCAAAAATTGGTTTAACGAGTTTCAACGTGGTCGAACGTCGGTTTTTGATGAGCCACGCTCAGGTGCCCCGAAAATGGCTACCACGGAGGATAACGTGACAAAAATCCACGATTTCGTATTGGCAGACCGCCGATTGAAGGTGCGCGAGATAGCTGAAACAGTAGGCATCTCAAAAGACCGCGTGGGTCATATCCTGCATAAAATTTTGGGCATGAGAAAGCTATCGGCGCGATGGGTGCAGCGTTTGCTCACTCCGGACAACAAGCGCAACCGTGAGACCACTTCAGAGCAGTGTTTGACTCTGTTTAAGCGCAATCCAAAGGAGTTTCTGCGTCGTTTCGTGACCGTCGACGAAACATGGATCCACTGGTACACACCAGAAACCAAGGAACAGTCGAAACAGTGGACTTCACCCGGCGAACGTGCTCCGAAGAAGACGAAGACTGTCCTATCGGCCGGAAAGGTGATGGCCACCGTTTTCTGGGATTCACAAGGTGTGATCTACATCGACTAACTGGAGAAGGGCAAAACGGTCACAGGGCTCTACTATGCCGAATTATTCGACGCCGAATTGCAGAAAAAACGGCCCCATTTGGCGAAGAAAAAAGTGTTCTTCCACCATGACAACGCACCGGCTCACACCTCCGCCGTCGCCACGGTCAAATTGGTCGAATTAGATTACGAACTGCTGCCCCATCCACCGTATTCTCCAGATTTGGTCCCGTGCAACTTTTTTTTGTTTGCAAACTTGAAAAAGTCACTCGCTGGGCAGAAATTTGAGTCGAATGAGGAGGTCATCGCCGCCACGGAGGCCTACTTTGCAGACTTCGAGAAAACGTATTTTTCAGATGGGTTACAGAAGTTGGAGCATCGCTGGATCAAGTGTATCGAGCTAAAAGGAGACTATGTTGAGAAATAAATCGCCACTTTTCCAAAATTTTCGTTTTTCTTTTGTAGGCTAAGTACTTATCGGACTGTCCTCATATATATATACGAGGGCAAGGTGAAAAGTTCTCGGCCTGACCCAGAAATGGCATTCCAATCGGCGAAAGTTTACGTTTCTTGCCTGCGCGCACATATCATTAGTTCGTATGACAAGCTTCAACTTGCACGCTCTAGTTTGTGTAAACGAGTCTTTGCAGTACACGTCTTGCGCGTGTGTTTCGTGAAAATGGATAAATTTGAATATCGTGCGGTCATAAAATTCTTCGTTTTGGATGGGTTAACCCCTAAGGAAATTCAACCAAAGTTGACAAAAGTTTACGGGAACTCTGCTCCTTCAATCTCAACCGTTAAAAAGTGGGCAGCTGAATTTAAACGAGATCGCACGTCGCTCGAAGATGACCCACGTGAAGGACGGTCAAAAACTGCAACCACACTGGAAACTATAGAAAAGGTGCACAATATCGTGTTGGACGATACGCGAGGAAAGATGTGTGAGATAGCTGAGGCCGTGGGCATATCGGAAGAAAGGGTGCGAAACATTTTGAACGAAGAATTAGGTATGCGAAAGCTCTGTGCAAGATGAGTGCCGCATTTGCTGAATGCGGATCAAAAGCAAATGCGCAAACGACATT